TTTATCCAATATTGCCAGTCTATGTCTTTTAATTGGGGCATTTAGCCCATTTACATTTAAGGTTAATATTGTTATGTGTGAATTTGATCCTATCATTATGATGCTAGCTGGTTATTTTGCCCATTAGTTGATGCAGCTTCTTCATAGTGTCAATGGTCTTTACAATTTGGTATGTTTTTGCAGTGGCTGGTACTGGTTGTTCCTTTCCATGTTTAGTGCTTCCTTCAGGAGCTCTTGTAAGGCAGATCTGGTGGTGACAAAATCTCTTAGCATTTGGTTTTCTGTAAAGGATTTTATTTCTCCTTCACTTGTGAAGCTTAGTTTGGCTGGATATGAAATTCTGGGTTGAAAATTATTTTCTTTAAGAATGTTGAATACTCTCTTCTGGCTTGTAGGATTTCTGCAGAGATATCCACTGTTAGTCTGATGGGCTTCCCTTTGTGGGTAACCTGACCTTTCTCTCTGACAGTGGTTATACTTGCCTCTGCAATTTTCTCTCAGAGTTTTATCCTATGCAGCATTGACTGCCCTTGGGCTAAAAGCCATAAATGTGAACAACACTGCAGGGCAAGATGTCAGAGCCCTGGCAGTGGAAAGTGGTTGGTTCACAGGTGGTAAGAAGAATTTACTGACAACAGTATAGGTTTGAAAAGGAAAGTGTTATTAGAAGGAGAGAGCTCTGCAGAAGAGTGTGGCAGGGCGCTTCGGCAAGAGAGGACTGAGTACACCGCAGTGGATTTTTCTTTAGAGGTATGTGTGTACCTTAAAGCGGAAGTTTAAGGATGATATGAACCTCATTAGTCCTGTAGATCATGATAAATGATTACATTTGTAGGCATTTTTGTGCTTTGATGTCAGCAAAGTTTGCACAACGAGTTTCGACATGCATGCGTTCTTGAGATATATAGAAATTCTAGTTATTTATTAATTTGGGAGAAAGAAGCCTGGTACCAGATGCCTACTTTAGATAATAGGGAAGTCTGATAACTTCTAAATTCTTCAGATAAGGAGTTTTGCCTCTGGATGGTCTGCTTGATGGCCACCAGGTGATCTTTGCTCTTCTCCAACTCAACTCATAATTTTCCTTTTTCTGAGTTTCAAATCCTATCCTGAATCTGTCTGCTTTGTTACATTGACTAATGTTTGTTTTATGTACTTTGTCCATATCCATATCCATTATACTATTATATGCTGTAGAGTTAGGTGCTTACATGGCCATAATGGAAGTGATCATCCTAAATTTCTTTGGAAAACCATTTATGACATGCCAAGAAAAAGTTCATATATCAGAAACACTTATGAAGTCTAGTTTAATAAAGATCTATAGGTAATATAAAAGAAGCTTACCCTCCTCCCTCTGTCATTTTTTTAATGCTGTAAATTTAGATTTTTATGCTTTTTAAACAGCGAGGCACACAAGTGATGAGAAGCAGGATACTCTTCCCATGACTGAGTTCCACACAACAGCCTCTAGAAATAAGTGATGAGAGACATTAATAATAGCTAACATTACTTTCTCTTTCAGATTAGGATTTTACAAGGGTACCCATTATTCTTAGCTTCAGTTTTAAAATAATATGATACACATAGACTAAGAGTGGGGGACTGTTGGTTCATCAAAAGAAAAATATGCATATTTCTATTAATATATATTACGCAGATCTGTCAATTGGATGGCAATATTGTGCAGGGATGCTGCACAACAAAAACAATATATATCCACTTCAAAGTGACTGAGAAAGGAAACAAAGAAGAGAAGAGAAAGGAAGAGAACGAAAACGTATGGAGGAGAGGAGAGAGAGGAGCAGAATATAGAGAAAGTACAGAAAATCAGAGGAGAGGAGAGAGACACACACTTGGAGGGAAAGAGAAGAGAAGAGAAGAGGAGACTGAGTGAAAGAGAGATTCATTTTAATGAACAGCATCAACATTTTTATAGGGCCAATTTGCAGACCTGCTTACTGCTATAAACCCAGCAGATAAGGCACTATTAAGAAGGTTACATGACCATGAAAATTTTATGTTGAAAAGAATGGGAATCTAATATTTGGTTTTGCAAACACACAAGCTCTCGTGACAGTAGGTTTTGCAGTATCTAAATACAAAAGACAAGCTCTGTTGCTCCTTTGAGGATATCGCATGCCCAAAGCTTTTCACATTTTCAATAAATGCAGATGTCTGCTCAGGACTTTCTTTACAGCTTCTTTGACCTCTTTATTCCTGAGGCTATAGATCATGGGATTTAACATTGGGGTTACCACTCCATAAGACAGCCCAATAATCTCATCAGACATGTTAGTGTTCTTTGACTTGGGTTTCATGTACATAAAAAGGGCTGAACCATAGAGTAAGATGACCACAATTGAGTGCGCTGAACAGGTAGAAAAGTCTTTCTTCCCTCAGCAGAATTAATTATCAGGATGGAAGAGAGAATAAACATATAGGAGATGAAAATTAACAGTAGAGGAATCACCAGTAAAACAACATTTGTCACTGTCATGATAAGCACATTGATGGTGATATCTGAACAAACAAGTTTTAGAAGGGCCAAGATTTCACAGGTAATATGATCAATGACATTATTCCCACAGAAAGGCAATGTCGTTGTCAGAACTGTTTGCAATAGGGAGGTCAGACAGCCTATGATCCAGGACTAGGCAGCCATTTGCACATACAGCACCCTGTTCCTGATGATGGAGTACCTCAGTGGGTTGCAGATGGCCACATAGTGGTCATAGGCCATCACAGCCAGGAGGACACACTCAGTGGAGCCCAAGCCAAGGAGCACAACCATCAGCAGAGCACAGACAGTAAAGGAGATGGATTTTCTCTCCGACATAAATACAATAAGCATTGGAGGAATGGATGATGATGTGTAACAGATGTCCAAGAAGGAGAGGTTTCCAAGAAAGAAATACATGGGAGTATGGAGGCGAGAATTCAGGATCCTGATGATAATGAGGAGGCTATTTCCCAGGAGGATTATCAGGTACATGATGAGGCAGAGCATGAACAGAAAAAGCTGGAGCTCTGGATATTGGGAAAGCCCCACCAGAAAGAATTCAGTCACTTGTCTCCATGTGTTCTAGGTCACCTGCCTGCTGGGTATAGAAAAGGACATGATTCAGGTAAACTGAAATCTTTGATACACCAAACTCTGTAAATCTGTACATCTACATATTTTGAACACAAATTTGCTTCCAATATTGTGTTTAATTCTTAGAATACTCCTAGTAAGCAAAACAGTATGGATATTGTACTAGTTTTATTGATTATGAAAAGTGAGACATTGAGAAACCCAGTATATCTTAGGACTACACAGCAGCACAGTCAAAGCTACCAATACTGCCAGAATTCTTTTGGGAAGTGTCAAATAAAGTTTAGGAACATGCTCCTTTCCAATGTAGAAGATATTTTGAACTTAAAGCTGTTTTTTTTGATGAAGCTCGCCTCTGTTTAAAATGTTATTTATAGACTGCCAGTGACATCATTTAACCTGGATGTAGCTTTGGTAAGTTGCTTATTTTTCTGAGTCGCAGATAGTTCATAGTAAACTTGGAAAAAGCAATGATTATTTCTTATAGTTAGAATTAAATTAGTTAAAATATTAGGTGCCTAGAACCTAATGGTTCCAACATGGCGTGTGTGTGTGTGTGTGTGTGTGTGTATGCATATATGTAATATAATTATATTTACCTTATATGAGATATAATATTAAATGTATTTTTATATACATGCATATTATGAATTATAGTATAATATTTAGATCTACCAATCTCAAAAGGAAAAAATAGATTTAGCTTTTTAAAGGTAAAAGGTTTAAAGTTTGAAACCACACTTGACAGACTGTGAACACTTTTGTTCCCAGTAAGACATTCTACTGCGCTTCTTTCAAAAACCTGTTAGGAGTCTGAGAATCATTAGAGGACTGTTGTAGAAGCTTCCAGAGATTAAGGAGTCTAGGTCCCAGCATGTACAGCTTTTTTCCAGGGACTGGGAGTCTCTCTTCTTAAGTGTAGTATTACTCCCATTTTACAAAGTAGGAAACAGAGACAAAGAAAAGTTTAAGTAACTTTCTCAAGGTCATACAGATAGTAAATAAATAAAGCCAGAATTCAATATCTAGCCATCTGGCTATAGATGTAAACCCTTTTACCCACAATACACTATAGAATAAACCCTTTTACCCACAATACACTACTCTCTCTCACTGGTTACTACATAGATTCCATGCAAGAGAAGACTATTACAAAAATGTATCTTCTGTTGGGATACAGTGAGACAGCAAACAGCACTTACTTGTGATTCTGATCATATGTGATTCTGATCATATGGACCACTTACTTTTTCCTGTAGTCTTTGATTGTGGTCTGCTCAGTTTTCTTTTCTTTTCTCTCTCTCTCTCTCTTTTTTTTTTTTTTTAAGACGGAGTCTTGCTCTGTCGCTTGGGCTGGAGTGCAGTGCCGTGATGTCAGCTCACTGCAACCTCTACCTCCCAGGTTCAAGTGATTCTCCTGCCTCTGCTTCCCGAGTAGCTGAGATTACAGGCATGCCTCACCACACCTGGCTAAGTTTTGTATTTTTAGTGGAGATGGGGGTCATATCATATTGGCCAGGCTGGGCTCGAACTCCTGGCCTCAAGTGATCCTCCCACCTCAGCCTCCCAAACTGCTGGGATTACACACATGAGCCACCTTGCCTGGCCTGCTCAGTTTTCTATGTGTAGAAGCCAGTTTCACAACTATGAAAAAAAGTGTGATCAAGAATAATGATGCAAAAGTCCTTTTCATAAACTTTGCCTTTTTTTCTTTTCTTTTCTTTTTCCTTTTGAGACAGAGTCTCACCCTGTTGCCCAGGCTGGAGTTCAGTGGTGTGATCTCCGCTCACTGCAACTTCCGCCTCCCAGATTCAAGCGATTCTCCTGCTTCAGCCTCCCAAGTAGTTGGGATTATAGGCGCGCACCACCACACCCAGCTAATTTTGTATTTTGTATTTCACCATGTTGGCCAGGATGGTCTTGAACTCCTGCTCTCAGGTAATCCACCCGCCTCAGCCTCCCAAAGTGCTAGGATTACAGGTGTGAGCCACTACACCTGGCCCACGTCTCCCTTTATCAGTCACATACCTAAAATCCCATAGCCCCTGCCCTCACTCTGCAAATCTAAATGCAACTTAGAGTCTTTTGAGAAACTACTCCCATTTATAACGTTAGTGCCACATCTTTGAAAACTCAATGTGCTCCATTTGTTTGATATTCATTACATTGACATGTCCAAATACCGTGTTAAGATGTCTTATATAAAGGGCTGTGTCTCATACATTGTTACTCTATTGCCATAAGAACTGTATTTACACTGGACTCTCCTTGTGGAATGAGAATATTTCTTACTGATCTTATTCTGACCCTACAACCACACTTTTGCTTTGACCTTTTCATATCCAGAGACTTTGAAGACAGGATGAATGCTTAGTCTTTGGGTAGTCATAGATAGCAAGCCCTCCTAGCTCCCTGTTGAAAATGTAGTATTATGGGGAGACTGAAAGAAACTCAGCATGGTCTTTGCAGAGCATTTGGGGCATCAGTAGTGGCTCCAGGGAGTAGTGGAGTACTGGTTCCAGGGATATGAAGGAAAAAAGTCTCTCCATTCCCTTTCCATATCCTCTCAGAGAGTACTACCTAGACAATGATTTGGGAGGAGATTAAAAAAATAGATGATACCAGTGTGTTGGTATATTGGAAAATATTCCCTTTGTCCTGCACCTCTTTTTCCTGTGTCTACATCAGCACGTGGATTTGTTCCCACAAAGTGGGCAGTGAAGGTAGCTGTTTTAATTGGATAGAGTATAGCTGCTTTGAAGTAGAGGAAAGTGGAAGGAAAGAAGAGGTGGAGAAAAAACAAATTTGTACTAGTATAGAAACAGCACTAAACTTACCACTTGTATCTAGGACGATGGTGTTATGCTAAACCCCTATTAATCTCAATAGGGCTAGCACCAGGTTCAAAAGGCCAAGAGACTCAGAGTCAGCAAAGGAGACATGGGGTTTATTAGGGGATTACATACAGGGGAGAGAGTCCAGGGGTGGTGTACTGGACAGAAAAACCACAACTGCCTGTAAAATCATGCAGTTTTATTTGGCATTTTCACTTAATCCTCTCCTTAACAACCTCCACCTGGCAACCTTCATCCAACCAAAAGCTTAGGGACCCAATTCCCCGCACGGCCCACGTTCAGGACAGGCTGGGAACTCAGATGTTTATCACAGAGAAGGAACGAATCTCTGGGTTGGCCACTCCTAAATTCCCTAGATCGGAACACACATTCGGGTGCCTCTGCCATTACAGAGTAATTCTAAGGTTATGCTTTATTTATTGCTATCAGATGTGTTTACCCTATAGGTGGGGTTGCTGAGAATACAAAGGTGAAGGAAGAAGAATGGCTGTCCTTCTTTCTATTCAGAAAAGATCCCAGGTGAAGAAGTCCATATTTCAGAATTTATTTTAAATTTTAACTTATTCTTTTCAGCTTGTAACTATTAGTGAAATATTTCAGGATTTAGAACAAAACAAGAGAAAGGGAAACAGTAACTTCACCAAAGACACTGAATCAACCCATTACACATGACTATCCTAACCTATTAGGTATCTTTCTCCAATTTATACCATGTCTCCTCCCATGACCGTGTTAAGGAGGAATTATTAGGAGGACTTTGTTTCCCCATGATCATCATCAGTCTCCCCACAAAAGACATCCTAATAGAGAAATTTAAAGGAAAATATGTGCTTGCTTGGCGGCTTCAAGGAAAGTCCTTTAGTTCATCCTCTAATCACGTTGTCACCTCTGGTTCTCTCTAACTCTAGAGCCACTACTGATACCCCAAATGCTCTGCACTGACCATGGTGAGTTTTGTTCAGTCTCCCCATAATACTACATTTTCTTTCTTTTCTTTTTTCTTTTTTTTTTTTTTTTTTTTTAGATGGAGTCTTACTCTGTCGCCCAGGCTGGAGTGCGATGGTGCGATCTCGGCACACTGCAATCTCTGCCTCCTGGGTTCAAGCAATTATCATGCCTCAGCCTCCCAAGTAGCTGAGATTTTAGCCACCTGCCACCACACCCAGCTAATTTTTGTATTTTTAGTAGAGTTGGGATTTCACCATGTTGGTCAGTTTGGTCTCGAGCACCTGACCTCAGGTGATCCGCCTGCCTCGGCCTCCCAAAGTGCTGGGATTACAGGCGTTGAGCCACTGCGCCCGGCCTGCATTTTCATTCTGCATTTGTGCGTGCTGTCTTCTTGAACTGGAAGGACTGTTCTTAACTTATCTATTACCCTTTCTAGGAAAGCTTTCTCACCTCGTATTGTGAGGAGGATGCCCTTTTTATATACTATCATAAAACTGTGCTTATCTGTCTTGCACAATTCTTCATTTATTCAACAGAAACTATGCCATGTATACTCTGGTAGGTAATAGAGATCCTATTGTGAGATCTTGACTTTCAAAATTAAGACTGGATTTTGCACTGAGTGCAGAATGCTTACAATAGTTATTTTACACTTTCAAGAAAAAAATTTCTGTGCTGTATAATATGTTTCAATGTGAAAAAGTTACAGAACATTTTGTAGAAACATTTTATCAAGCAAAAATAGTCTTGTTTTCCCAAACTTTCAAAGATAGACAAAAACTATAGATAATCTTATTTACGAATGGTTGTAAAATCATAATTATAGTACATCCAAACTGTATATACTAAAGTGATGTAATTTATTTCATGGATTGATAAGATTCCAAATTAATACTTGAAAATCTATCAGTTTACTAAACAAATAAGCAAAAAACCCAACACATGGTCTTCTAACAAGATGCTGAAGTACATTTGGTAAAATACAGCATTCATTCTTGGTCAGACTGAGTAATCTAGATATAGGAGGATCTAGAATGAAGATGATAAAAATTATTACTCTCAAATCTTTGGGCAGCATAATTCAAAATGGTGAAACTCTAGCAGTGTTTTTTCTTAAAGTTCGCAAAGATAGTGTTAGCACTATTTGAACAATTTTTCACTAGAATGATCCAACCAAATGGAATAGCATATCCATGGATTGGATCCATATGTCCTATTATGTTTCAAGTTTAATCATGATTTAAACAGTTGCTGTGCTTTTTCTTTTTTGCTTTTTTTTACCTCCAGGTTGCTGGAATTCTGGTTTGTGGGGTTGGTAGGTTATAATATACACATAAGAATACATCCTCTCATATGTTAAACAACCATGAAAGTTGTAATCTTGGAGAATAGTAAATGAAAAGGAAAATCCCCATGATATAATATTGTGTTAAAAAGAATGTCTTGGCTGGGCACGGTGGTTCACGCCTGTAATCCCAGCACTTTGGGAGGCCGAAGTGGGCAGATCATGAGGTCAGGAGTTTGAGACCAGCTTGGCCAATATGGTGAAACCCTGTCTCTATTAAAAATACAAAAATTAGCTGGGTGTGGTGGCACGCGCCTGTAGTCCCAGGTACACAGGAGGGTGAAGCAGAAGAATCGCTTGAACCCAGGAGGTGGAGGTTGCAGTGAGCTGAGATTGTGCCACTGCACTATAGCCTGGGCGACAGAGTGAGACTCTGTCTCATGAAAAGAAAAAAAAAAAATGTCTCATAACCATATAAATGATCACAGTTTTTATATATGTGACTGAAAGAAGTTACATAGAAATCTTAACTAGTTTTGTTTTGTTTTTTTTTTCCCCTGGAATGTGGTACTTGGAGGGATTATTACTGTTCTTCTTTTTGCCTCATTTTCTAATTTTTTGAAAAGAATGTATATTTTCTGATTATAAAAATACATATTATTTTAAATTTTCCTTTGAAGGAAACAGTGGTGAGAGTTTGAAGAATTTTGGTCCAATTTTCACTAATACCCAAGAATGAGTGAGAATGTTTATTGGAAAGGAAATTGGAGAAAGGCTTTCTATTGATTTATGACATAAACTGACTTAATGCCATTGAATGTTCTGACTTTAAGAGATCAACTTCACTCAGAAGACACACTAACACAGTCCCAATTCTTGGATTAGGATTCTAGAGCTCACCACTTAGGAAGTGGCTAAAGTGGGCAGTGTAGGTAGGATGATAAGACACCCAACTGTATCATACAGTAAAAAGAGGAGGCAGAGGAGATACCCATGATGGGAAGGGGTAGGAGAATAATAGCAATTACTATTACCTCGATTTCATTTCTTCCAAAAAGGGGTAAAGTTCCAGTGCCCCTGGCTCTCTGTTTTTCTGGACATCTCTCTCCAAAGGGTCGGTTTGGTCTTTAGACTGATGCTCAGCATCGAATATCATCTATAGATGAAAAGCAAACTCTGCTTGAGAAATATGATTTTGAAGTGCTCACCCTTCTCCCCATGTTTACCAATAAGAAAGAGTAGTATTTTGCCTGTAAAACATATGTACTCACCCAGATTCCCTCCTTTTAACCAAAGAAACTCTCAAAACAGACTGTGCCCTCAGAAGGAAATTGAATTCACTAAGTATTGTATCCTATCTCCTGCTCCAGCTGGATTTTCCTGCTATTTATGTAATAACTTATTCTTCACAATATCCAACATCCCTGGTACTAGAGCTCCAGCGCTTATCCGAATAAATGAGCCCTTCTGAGCCCCAAAGGAGCTAATAACGAGCAGCAGGGCTCTAGTTAGAACAAGGCCTCTTCTCTCCCTCTCGTATGGTTTAGAGAATTGTCCTGGGTCTTTTCATCCATATTTCTGTTTGGTAACCAATAACACATATTTGTTGCTGGAAGTTTCAGTGAGCCATGGGCTCACTGCTGGGATTGATTCACCCTGCTGTCTTCATGCCCTCACCATCTTTAGGGCTATGTCACAGTGCAGTGCCCTTGAGTCTCTCTCTGTAAGCCTATTGTGCCCCAGTCCATGTACTCCATAGTCCCCTTTGACTGCTGATAAAGAGAAGTCTTGTGTCTTAGCTGGAGGACATACACTTCATTCTTAGCTCTTTGGCATATTAGCTGTACAAACTATGGGCGAAACACTTTGTGTCTCCAAGCATGATGTGCACTATGTAAATCGGGGCAACAATACCTATTCATAGAATTGTTGTGAGGATGAATATAACATACCTGAAATTTCTTGGCATAGATCAAGTGCACAGTATATGTTAATTTAATCTGAATCCCTAGGCTAGTATTCTTTCATTTCCCAGGATAAGAAGTGACTTACTTAAAATGACATTCGTATATATCCATGGTATTTCTTTTACTCAGTAATTCCCTGCATTTTTCATTGTGTTATCCAGCATTTTAAAATCAAATAACTTATTTATAATTCCCTGTCCCCATTTACCTCTTTTTTTTCTGGAAATACTTCTTCCCAGCTTTGCCTTAATGTTCCCTTTTCAAGCTTCTGTATAGAGTCCTCATCTTCTCCACTCACAATAGACAGCACGACTTATTGGGATTTCAGTCTCTTTCAACACAAGGAAAACGTTCTCCCTCTTTTTCATCAGTGTTTTGCTAACTTCTTGTGTCTACATACTGAAGTCACTGTAGCTGCTCCTCCTCAATCAGTTGACTTTTCAGCTCTCTCTCTTTGAGCTGTAGCCATACTCTAGAACCCATAGTCAAGTATCTCACAATCACAACTCTTAGTAGTGGCATGGGAAAGATAAACAGTAAAGCTTTCAGCCCCAATAGAAGTCTTGCCATAAGTTTATATCCAATAGTAAATTAATGTGTCACATAAGTACTTTCTTTCCTCTAAGCCCCAATAATTCCAGAGGACCTGCCAGTGGCTCTGGTAGCCAATTTAAATACTCCTTGGTTTTATTCTGAGAGACTGTAATCCCAGAAGTGATTTAAAGTTGAATCTTTAAATAATGTGAAAGATAGTGACTTCTAGATACATTAGGGCTAATATCTCAAAGATCTGATTACACCTAACTTTTTTATTCTTCTTCTTCTTTTTTTTTTCTTTTTCTTTTTCGAGAAGGAGTCTCTGTTGCCCAGGCTGGAGTGTAGTGGTGCGATCTCCGCTCACTGCAACCTCTGCCTCCCAGGTTCAAGCAATTCTCCTGCCTCAGCCTCCCAAGTAGCTGGAATTATGCCTGCCACCATGCCTGGCTAATTTTTTGTATTTTTAGTAGAGACAGGGTTTCACTATGTTGGTCAGGCTGGTCTTGAACTCTTGACCTTATGATCCGCCTGCCTCGGCCTCCCAAAGTGCTAGGATTACAGGCATGAGCCACTGCACCCGCCATACCTAACTTATTAAACAGTAATTTTCTTTCTTCTTTGAATTGGGACTTCCCTGATTATACAAATAATACATACTTGGAATAGAAAATTTGAGAAATTCCAAAAAATCTAATGGAGGAAAGAAAATCACTCATAATTACAGGTGTAAATATTAATATATTTCTGTGCATATACTGTTTTTACATGCTTGAGAGCACACTGTATTTCTTGATTTATTACCTGATTTTTGTTATGCATAATACACTGTATATATATTTTCATATTAATTTTTAAGACATTTTTAACAAATTCTAATATTTTAAAATTGAAAACAGGAAAAAAAAACCCTACATATAACAAGTGGAAATGAAATAGTTTTCTGCTGGATTCTCAGCAACCTTTCGCTTTTCTTTACCTTTTTGAGGTTAATAATACTGGATGACTAGGCTCACAGATTCTTTTCACTTTCTCCACCCTGAGAGTTAAGGCCCATTTCCACTGTCAGAAGTTCTCATAATGCCCTTTTATAAAATGAAAAATGAATGTGATGTACACTTTTTCTTAGTGAGACAAAGCACACATAGAGTGTAATAAACAAAGCTGTGAACTCACAGCATCAAGGGACAACACAGTCCTGCCATGGTTTTCCAAGAGGCTTCTCCAACTCCACTCATTCTCTGTCAACTTCCTGGTTCCAGATGCTGCTGTGATACTTCCAGGTCTTTGTGTTTTAAACTTAACCACACTTACATTTTTGTAAGCACCTCTGCAATTGTGTAGGCCTGAATTAGAAGAACATTCACAATTCATTTAATATTTGGAGAACACACATATATAAGGCCCTTTGCTAAATTTTGATGCCAAAAAAACTTGATGTCCACTCAATGTTGTAGGAATATACAAAGATGAAAAGACTCTACCTCTTGAGGCAGACACTGGCAATATTTCAGAAAAGCATGTTGGAGTAAAAATACTTCTCAGGTTCTTCTTGGAAAGTGGAATTTGACTCAATATTGATATTTTCTTTTAGCCGACTGTAATTCATCAGGACTCCATTTTCAAACTTGACTTTTGTGAGCTGGGCAGCAATGGAAATAAATCTTTGTTCAGGTCTTTTAGGCTTAACATCACTTAATGTATAGTTTAGAGATCAGTTGGTATTTGGGTAGAGTTTACACAAAAATTTGAGGCTCTCATTGGTCTGTCTGCCGCTTTTCTGTGGTTTTATCTTCCAAATTTTCAACTTTCATGGCCTTCATGAACTCTGTCCTGTTCCTTCAGGAGAGTAAGACTGATGTTTTTTTTTTTGAGACGGAGTCTCGCTCTGTCGCCCAGGCTGGAGTGCAGTGGCCGGATCTCGGCTCACTGCAAGCTCCGCCTCCCGGGTTTACGCCATTCTCCTGCCTCAGCCTCCCGAGTAGCTGGGACTACAGGCGCCCGCCACCTCGCCCGGCTAGTTTTTTGTATTTTTTAGTAGAGACGGGGTTTCACCGTGTTAGCCAGGATGGTCTCGATCTCCTGACCTCGTGATCTGCCCGTCTCGGCCTCCCAAAGTGCTGGGATTACAGGCTTGAGTCACCGCGCCCGACCAAGACTGACGTTTTCTACCTGGATTTTAGTTACCCTGTAAAATGATGCTGACTGGGTCCTTCTTTTATCTTAAAGCCAGCAAAAGGAAATCATCCATGCTCCCATTCAGTTTCTGGATGCTTTTGGCCACTTCAGGAAAGTGTATGTATGTGTGTAAGTATATATTTATGTATTTGTTGTGGTAAGAGCATGTCACGTGATAATATGAGATGTACTCTCTTAACACATTTTTAAGCATGCAATACAGCATCGTTAACTATGAGCACTGTGTTGTACAACAGATATCTAGAAGATATTAATCTTTTCTAATCAAAACTTTTATATTTGTTGAATAGCAACTCTTCATTTCCATCTACCCCCTACCCAGCCCCTGGAAACCATCATTCTGTTTTCTGCTTCTGTGAATTTGGTTATTTTAGATACTTGATATAAGTGTAAACCTACAGTATTTGTCTTGCAGTGACTAGTTTATCTTACTTAGCATAGTGTTATCAAAGTTCATCCATGTTACTGCATATGGCAGGATTTCCTTTTTTTTTTTTTTTTTTTTTTGAGATTGAGTCTCACTCTTGTTGTCCAGGCTGGAGTGCAATGGCGTGATCTTGGCTCACTGCAACCTTTGCCTCCCAGGTTCAAGTGATTCTCCCGCCTCAGCCTCCAGAGTGGCTGGGGTTACAGGCACCTGCCACCACACCTGGCTAATTTTTGTGTTTTTAATAGAGACGGGGTTTCACCATGTTGGCCAGGTGGATTTCCTTCTTTTTAAAGGCTGAATGATATTCCATTATATATATAAAATGGAATATATATATATCTTTATATATATGGAATATCTCTCTCTCTCACTATCTATCTATCTATCTATCTATCTATCTATCTATCTATCTATATCTCATATGTACACATGTTTTCTTTATCCAGACATCTGTTGCTGGACATTTAGGTTGTTTCCATATTTAGACTATTGTGAACAATGCTGAATAACATTGGCATAAAATATCTTTTGAAGATTCCGATTTCAGGAAGTTTCTTTTTCCCTGTAAAGTAAAAAAAAAAAAAAACCATTTTTACCTATATTATTACCTATAATAGTCTAGGTGTTTATTGGGGATACAAAATTAACAAGATACTATTCTTGTTTTAGGGATATCATCAGTCTAGTGAAGAAATGAATGTATCTTTATGTAAATGTCACCCTTCAAGAGTATAGAGGCCGGGTGTGGTGGCTCACACCTGTAATCCCAGCACTTTGGGAGGCGGAGGCAGGCGGATCATGAGGTCAGGAGTTTGAGACCAACATGGTGAAGCCCCAGCTCTACTAAAGATACAAAGAATTAGCTGGGCGTGGTCCACATGCCTGTAATTCCAGCTACTTGGGAGGCTGAGGCAGAATTGCCTGAACCCAGGAGGCAGAGGTTGCAGTGAGCCAAGATCGCGCCACTGCCCTCCCGTCTGGGGGACAGAACAAGACTCCGCCTCAAAAAAAAAAAAAAAAGAGCATATATTCAGTTATTTCAATGAAAGCTTTATGAGTGCAAGGACTTAAAAAACATTCTATTGAGGTACAATTGACATAACAAAAAGTTACACATATTTAATGTATGCAATTTAATGAGTTTGAAGATAAGCATACACCCAGGAAACCATTACCACGATCTATGCCCTAAACAATCCATTGCCTCCAAAAGTTTTCTATTGCACTCTTTATCTACTACTATTCTTATTGCTCTGTGTGAAAAGAACAGTTCCCTGAGGTGAGCAGCAACTGAAATAATCACCTCCAATGAGAAATTTAAAAAATATTTTTCCTAGAGTGTACAGTTGTTATCTGCAGGGGAGTTGGTCCAAATGCTATTATTAGAAGATTCCATTATATATTTTATGTATTTTTCCACATCTATGTTATAAGTGAAATAAGCCAAAAAGTTTTATCTGCTTGTACTGTTCTTATCTGAATATGAAATAAAAATAAATAGATCAGGCAGCTTTCTCAATTTTTTTTTTTTTTTTTTTTTTTGCTAAGTAACTTGAATAAGATGATGACTGTTTGTTCCTTGACAATTTAGTGAACTCGTAAGTAAAACTGTCTGGCAGCAGGAACTATTAAGGTTCAATTGAGGCTAATGAAAATAAAGATATCCTTTTTTTTCCCATCTAAGTTACTAGGCCCCTTGAATTCTATTCATAGGCATCCTTTGGGATCAAGAGCCACTGCTCTAGAGAATATACCAAGGAGATGATTTTCTGGGTCAGTCTGTATACACATTCATCTTTCTTGTAATATCTGTTTATTTTAAAAGCTTTTTTGTTTATTTGTTTCCTTTGTTTGATTTTGGGTTATATATTCATCTTTGCTAAGTTTCCAAATTTGTACCCTAAATAGAAGTATATGAGGCTTTGCTTTGCATGATATTCTTGCCAATGCTCAGTACTGACCAACTTTTAAGTTATTACCAATCTAATCTGGTCAATTTGGAATAGCATCTTTTTAAGACTCATGAGACAATAGGTATTGTTTGAAGAGTGGTGAAAAAAATTATATGAGGTGGACACAGGAAACGCTCTGCCTGAGATATTTCTACTTGGTTGTGTCACGAGGTTAGGTTCATGCAAATCTTCAGAAAGAAGCAGGATGGGTGGAGCCAATGTGGGCCCAACAGTTAGTTAGGGCAGTAACTGCATATATACTGTATATGTTTGTGAGTTTTTGGTTCATCCTTAAGTAGGTACTTTCAGGACTCCTTTGTAAACGCTGCTGAAGGAATCACAGCTTCTGTTATATCCTAAGGACACTAGATGGTGGCATAGACTAGCTTTTTCTTTCTCATTTCTTTTGCCCCATACTTGTAGTTGGAATTGTGGGATCAACTTGACCTGATCTTAAAAATATTAATTCTTATGTTCACTGGCAATGAATCGAATTTGATTTCTCCATATTCTTGTCAATACTTATGATGCTATAATTTAGTATCTGACTATTTTGAAAGTATGTAATGTCTCATATTGTCATTATAAATGCATGTTGAATTTTATTAAATTTTCTGCATTTAGTAAAATAGACATGCTTTTTTCTCCTTTAATTGATATTCTTATAAATTAAATTAACATATTTTCTAATGTTAACATTTTCTTGCATCCCTGATATATATTTTACTTGGACATCAGGTATTATTATTTTGTGCATTGCTGGATTATGTTTGCTAGTATTTTATTTAAGATTTTTGTATCTATGTAGTAGAGTGGCTTTTTTCCCCCCTTTTTTAATTGTCCAGTTTTTGTTTCACGTAATGCCTGCTTCGAAAGATTGATTCCAGAAGATCTTCCTCTTTTTCTATTTTCTGCAACAAATTAGATAGAGATATTTTATGTCCTTGAAAATTTATTATAATTTTCTAGGGAAACTGTTTGGGCCTGGCAATTTTTTAAATAACTCGTTCAAAATTCCTTGTCTTTGGGCTTTTTCCATTCTTTCTTTATTTTTTTTTCTAGAGCTTGAATTGGATGCTAAGCGCATGAACTTTCAACTTTTTTTTATATTTAAGCCTATAAACTTTCTTCTAAACAGTTAAACTGAATCAACTGATTTTGATGGTAATTTTGTTGTCCTAAAGTTGTAAATGTTTTATAATTTCCATTATTATTTTTTACTAATCAATGATTTACTTAGAAATGTGTTTCAAAATTTCCAATTATAAAATATGTTTTGAGTTTTTAAAATTGATTTCTAATTGTATTTCATTGTGATAAGAAAATGTGGTTGAGTGCTATTAATTGTTCAATATGTATTAAATCTTGCTTTCTGACCCAAGGAGTCAGTTTTATAAGTATATATTCCCTAGTTGTTTGAATATAAAACTTGATAGATACTACATATTATATATTTTATTAACTTCTTCAGATGACTTTTATTCACTGTAGAATTTAAATTTTTTATTTTCACATTTTTAACCCATTAGAGAGTATACATTAAAATCACTCACTTTTATTTTATTTTAAAAATATCATTAAATTTCTTTTTTAATTATGAATTTTTATGAGTACAGTAAGTATATATATTTATAGGGCACATGAGATATTTCGATGCAAGCATACAACGTGTAGTAATCACATTAGGACAAATGAGGTATCAATCACCTCAAGTATTTATCTTTTCTTTGTGTTGCAAACAATCCAATTATACCCTTTTAGTTATTTTAAAATGTACAATAAATTACCGTTGATTGTGGTCACCCTGTTGTGCTATCAGATGCTAGATTTTATTTATTCTATCTAACTATATTTTTGTGCAGATCAACCATCCTTAGTTCTCCCTCACTTTATGCTTCCTACCCTCTGGTAACCATCATTCTACTCTCTACCTCCATGTGTTCAATTGCTTTAATTTTTAGCTCTCACAAATAAGTGAGAACATGTGGTTTGTCTTTCTGTGTCTAACTTATTTCACTTAACATAATAACCTCCAATTCCATCCATGTTGTGCAAGTGACAGGATCTCATTCTTTTTTATGGCTGAATAGTACTCCTTTGTGCATTAGTGCCACATTTTCTTTATCTGTTTATCTTTAGTGGACATTTAGGTTGCTTCAAAATTTTGGCTATTGTGAATAGGGTTGCAATAAACATGGGAGTGCAGATATCTCTTCAATATATTGCTTTCCTTTCTTTTGGGTATATACCTAGCAGTGGGACTGCTAGATCACATGGTAGCTCTATTTTTAGTTTTTTGAGGAACTTCCAAACTGTTCTCTATAGTGGTTGTACTAATTTACATTCCCACCAGTATTGTATGAAGGTTCTTCTTTCTCCATATCCTCGCTAGCATTTGTTATTGCTTGTTTTAGACATAAGGCATTTTAATTGGGGTAAGGGGATATTGTAGTTTTGATTTGCATTTCTCTGATGATCAGTGATATTAAGCACCTTTTCCTATACCCCTTTACCATTTGTATGTCTTCTTCTGAGAAATGTCTACTCAGATTTTTTGCTCAATTTTTAATTGGATTACTAGACTTTTTTCTATAGAGTTGTTTGAGCTCCTTGTATATCTGGTTATTAATCCCTTGTCAGATGGGTTGTTTGCAAATATTTTCTCCCATTCTGTGGGTTGTCTGTTT